TGCGAAGAAAAGTAAACTGCATGCTGTAACTCTCTCCTGACACCAGTGTTCACAAGAAAACAGACATCATTCATTTTGTCACTTATGACCTTGTTTGTTTTTGAAGGGTCACATAGTGTCAACAATATAAATAATTACGTGTTTCATAAGCAGCTAAAAACCCCTAACAGGAGCTTGAACAGGTTTTGTATGTCAAATGACCTGAGACTAGTTGAGTTAATAAGTCCAGTAAACTCTGTCACTTGCAGAATAAAGAGTATACTTATGCTCGGGGATCACAGATTTAAATCCCACAGCCTAATAAATCTTAAACACGAGCATGTATTTTTGATAGCGACCCGTAAACGTGTAGTACATCCTTATGGCTAAGATCTGTGTGAAATAGGTGTGAGAACCATTTCACATAAACTTTTGTTTAAGAGCATTTTAAGTAACAGCTACTTACTTTGTTTCATTCATTCATTACAGTTTTTTTCTTTTAATTACCGGTAACTCACAAACTGGTTTAGAAACAACACCAAGGACTGAGAGAAAACGTCTTGTTGGTAGATGCTCTACAGCCTGACGGTATCCTGCTCTTATTATTGAATTTATTAATTTCCTTACTTGCTGAACTTGTTGATGTATTCTGTCTCGGTGTGATGGAAGTGCGGACATTACCCTCCTATTCGCTCCCATATTGTAGTCCCAGTGGGAAGCATTCATCCCAGTAAGGTTTATTCATGAGGACAGGCGAGTGCCCTGTGCATTATAAATAGAACTGAGCTCTCAGCCGCGCTCAGGATCTGACTGCATCTCGCCAGGCACTACACGTTTGGGCTCGCAAATGCAGCAGAACTCTAAACACAGAAACACAGCATTTTTTTTTTTTTCCAAATGATAGCATGAGTTGTATTTACTCAATCACATAAAAATGACACTTGATTTGACAATTTGTTTGCTTTCCCTGCATCGCCATAGTTGAGTCAACATTATAGAACACGCTGTGAGTTTCACAACCCTGAAATCCTGTTTGCTTTGCTCCCAGTTACAGGCAGATTTATTGGCTCGCAGTTTACGTTTCAGCTACCTTGATTGGCAATATATTCTAGTGTTGCTTGTGGTTCTGAGATAGAGGACATTAAAAAATAAAATCATCCTGGATGCTGTTGGCGGCGGAGCAGGCAGCGCTACAACATCACAGCCTTGAGTGTAAGTGACTGCGCCTTTGGTGCACGATATCTGCAGCCCTCTTTAATTTTCCTCTGCTGCTGAAGATTCAACCAAAATCCAAAGCAAACCGCACTGAAGGCACCTCTGATTGTTGACATTCCACCCTGTTTCCTTTTCAAATGGCGAAAGCTGGTTTTAATCTTGGAGCATATTTTATTAAAATGGGTCGTGTCGCCAGAATCCTCTCCCTCAATCAGACTCATGAAAGGCTTCTTTGTGCTGCCTTCTCCGATTGGAAATTTTGATACAGAGTCAGAGTGATTGCACCGTGAGACACCAAAAGGTGATTATCCTGATGGACTAGGTATGAAAATGTAGCCTATTATGTGAGGGGAGAAAAGGTTGATTAAAATGAGTTTGGAGTTGACTTCCTTTTTTCTAACCTCTCCTTGCTGCATTTAGACTTGTCCATGTAGTAAAGACCACTTCATATTTCTAGAATATTCACATTGATGAAGAATAAGCAACTCTTCAGCATGCCCAAAGTTCTTAAAAATAATGATTCATCATTTACGGATTCATTTCAACTAGCTTCATGAGATGTAGAAGATTTGGAATCATTTTGGGAAATGCATTCTTTTCTTTAAAAGCTGAAACAAACGGCCTTTCCTGGGATTGGATGCCATGTAATGTCTTCATTTGACAAAAATAAAATGTTGCATGAGGGTGCGAGACAGCGAGCTTGTGATCCAGCACAAACAATGAACCTGTTTTAAAAAGCGCTTGTACATGTCCATGTGCGATGGAGATCCTTGAGCATTTGAAGCCTCGGTACATGAAGCACAAATGCCCATGTGAGTGTGCAAACAACCCATCGTAAACAAGCGTACCCTGGTTTCTCCTTCAGTGCATTTGTGACATGATTTCTTGTGGCTGTGGAGGGAGACTCGCGTCTATTTTTAGTCTGTGCTAGTGAAAGAACATTTTAGTTTTCTGTGATATTTTTTGGGAAGATTTTAAATCTTATCCCAAATGAATAATACTTTAAACATGCTTCTAATTTAGTGATGTTTTTAAGAGTGTTGCTTTTTGCTGTGCAGAAAACGATTCTCTTGGTGCCAAATATGAACAAATTAATTCAACTTTAAACTGCTATACTGTTTAAAAGCTTTCCTACACCCTATACCATCAGTGGACCGTTCTATTTCTTTTTTTTACTCCACTGAAATGTTATTCTATTTTTTGCTTGAGATAAATAACAGCCAAAATACATTAGTGAGATTTTGTATTGTGAGTAATACAGAGGAAGTGCTGCCCCTAGCGATGTCAGAGTAAGTTATAGTCATCCAGAAATAGGTACTGAGGATAGGAGTGAACATGTCACCCTGACTTAGGTCAAGCCAACAGGAGCTTTGCAGAGAGAACAAAAGCCGCCTAACTGCTTCTCCCAGCCACACAGAACCTTTGTTTCTTGCAGAAGGCTACAATAGCAGCTTATGTGCACCCCAGTCAGATCACTTTCAGATATATCTGCACAGACCACAATGAAGCAGCAGAGGCCATCTATACTTCTTTGATGAGTAAAAAGGTTGATATATTTAGACATTTCATGATTACTTTCTCTGATTGGATCCAAAGGTGCAGGAATTTAAGCTAAATGATGTCTTCAGTCTTCACCATGCTCTTATTTTTCTTAGAGGCTGTGCGATTGCATCATAAATCTCAAGGCAGGCACATCTGACAACATCATGGAGGTGCACTGAAAATCTGTCCAAACAAGTAGAGCAAAAAAACAAAAAAACAAAAGAGTGCTGCCATGTACAATTCCTGTCCATCAACTGATGAAAGATATAAGACAGGTAGTGCTCGGAGCAGGCGGACACTGTACCACTCCGCCTTACAGACTCATGGGAGCTGTAGTTCAATGATAATATTGTATCTTTGGAGACCGAATGTTTTAATCTAATTTTCTGCAGAGTGGACAAATTTTTTTTTAGCGATTACAGAACATTTTTACATTTAGAAGAAGAAATAAAGATTTTCAGCACATGAAGAAGATTCATTGGTTAGCAATCTTTCAAGCGCTGTGCAGCTTCACTGGTCTTATGATTCGATTGGATGATGACTATCCTGTCAACGATTAGATATCACGGTGCATCCTCAGTTCTTTATAATACTGCACATGGCTACAAGCAGTCAGATAAATATGATCTCTTTTTTATTATTTAATAAAAAAAATACATATAGGGCGACCGTGGCTCAGTTGGTAGAGTCGTCGCCTCTCAACCGGAAGGTCGAGAGTTCAATCCCCAATGTGTCCTTGGGCAAGACACTTAACCCCGCATTGAACCTGCTGCTTCGATGGCGGTGTATGAATGGATTACTTACTCTCTGATGTACGTCACTTTGGATAAAAGCATATGCTAAGTGAATTGTAACAAACTGTATATATATATCTGGGTGGGGTGTAACGTGATGAGGCTGTGACAGGACATCCAACATGGCGTCTGCTGATGATGAGCCTCCAGATCCCCCTGCTGTAACAGATGGCTGATGCCACTCAGGCTTTGTCCATTAATATTAACAATGTCATTGTCTATGAATGTAATAAGTATAAGTAACTTTGTGTTCAGTTTATTAGACCAGAGTAATATGTTGTCACTGCCTGTTCACTTCTAATGAAATGGCAGCTTATGAATTCATATCTACATCTTTTTGCACTTCCACAGGGGCTTCATTTAATCTTCTGTCTACCTCACTTCATACGTGAAATCTTTCCCCTACTGCATGTGCTGAAACTCTGCTGCTGCAGTACTGAAAACTACACGATTAATACAAAACTGAAGAGTCCATTATCAAATGACGCAATGATAACACACTTTAAAAAAGATGAGATGGGCAAACGATGGAGTCATCAAGTCACAGGGATTGGACTGAAAGCAGTGAAACACAGGTAACACTGGTTACCCCAGCAAGCCTAGGATATGTTTTTAAGTCATGTCCACAGATGTGTAACAGAAGTCACAAGATGGGGAACATGTTGTTATGTTGTGTGGTTCCTAAATGCTCATTGTTGGAGTTAGTCAGTGTTGACCATTAAACATAAAGTCATGATCCAAAACAAACCGTTGCTAATATTGCCTCCTCTTTGCTTCATTGGTAAGTCTGTCTGCTGTAAGCTTTGTTTATCAAGCACATTGCCGTCCTGGATCTTGATGTCCATCCATCTACACAGTTGAGTTGTTGTCAGGTACGTAATATCGGTGTTGAATATAGCTTGCACAAACAGCGATTGTGTCTGTTGAAGGTGGCGATGGTGTTTAGGTTAAATGGAAAATAAGTGCCATGTGGTAAATTATGTAACTTATCAGTCAGGCTTAAGGGGGATGAGGAGTTTCTTCACTGAGCACAATTCCTTTAATTAGGGCACAATTATCTAGTGTTTATTTCAAATTGGCAGCCCTAATTGCCGTGTGGGAAAATCTGATGTGTTAGGACGGAGAAAGTGATGTTAGCAGACAAATGACACACGCTGACATCATGCTAACACAAAATCAATCCAATGAGTTAGCAACAAATTAATTTTGTCATGTCTAATGAAATCAGTTAAGATATCAAAGTTGACGCTTTGTTTATGTGATGCTCGGCGTGTGTTTTGGGATTGATTAATATTAGGTGGAGGTATAACCTTAATACGTAACCAGAAGAAACCAGACAAAGCCACCTCGATTATTACCCAGGGAAGGATCTAGAACAGACCGTACCATTAACAAGACACTAAGGTTTGTTCAACAATGTTGAGATTCAATACAAATATTCACATGGGGACATGAGGGAGAGAGGCTTACCGGCGGTAAGATGGGACGTCGAGGGGTGAGAGGGATCCCAGGGAAAATCACTCTAATCACAGGTGACAGTCACAATCACACACACACCACGGTGAAGTAAAATCAAGAGCGAGGGATGACCAGCACACCAGGGGGGGTACACCAGCAGAATCACCTTTGACTCTCAGCAACTGGAAGTACAAGAAAGGGCAATCAGTGAGGCTGTACTCACAAAAAGAAAACAATATACAAACACAGAATCGACCAAATGTATGTAGTTGGCAGATAACAATTTGCATATTCAGTTAAACAAACAAATGATAAATGCTGCCAAAAAACATCGAGTTGCAGATTACCAAAGGGATAAAAAACCAGAAACAAAAATTAAAGTAAAGAAATAGAAAATCCACTTGAGCTGATAAGATATCAGATTTAACTCAACAGAAAGAAGTTGCTGAAAATCTGCAATAACGTGAGGGAGCTGATCAGACAAACAATGAACCACAATGGGGAAAAATAATGATGTTAATTCAAGAAACCATATTAATATTGAGAATGCACGCTCCCACGCTGTGAGGCGCACATACCAGGGGTGTGACATAATATGTATTTGCCCCTACCGCCGCGGATTGGATGTCACGGTTCGGTGCATGCAGCGCAGCCATACGACTAATATTTCTGAGTGGAGTAAATAGTCACTCATGGCAGTACCCACACTCCAACACATGAATATTAGGCTGCATCACAGAGAGGTGCCATATGGAGCGAAAAACAAGTGTTCAACAACTTATCCCACTGATTTTAAAAAGCAGGTGTGTATTTTCAACATTCACAGGATCAACAACCAACTGGAACTTGCACTACTGTCAGTTCAAATTAAATAAGACTTGGGACTCTGGGACTTTTTGTTGCTTTTATTCCTGTCGCACTGAAGCTGTACCGAACCGTGACCCCAAAACGGATATGAACCGAACTGTGTAACCTCTGTGTACCGGTACACACCTAGTACAAACTGCTCAGGCTGCTTCTGAAAACACTGAAGAGGATCAGAGCGTTTCAAGCTCAAGCCGCGGCCGTGGCAACAGGCATCAACCCGGAGGTCATTGACACCAGCAACCGAAACACAATTCAAGCGCCTACAAACAGGCAAAGCATCGAATATAATAGAGAACTGGAATGACAATTTCCCACTGAAACAAGACAGCTACAGTAATATACCAGCGTCGTGGCAGCGGGAGGAAGGACGTGAGTGGGTGAGCCACAGAGCGAGAGGGAGATGAGAAACACAGACTCACTTTATTGACTGCATTCATACAATGAATGGCTAATGAGGGCCCAGTTGAAAGCAGGGCGACAGGCTCACTTGTATTAAGACTGGATGAGGCATTTCATCCTGTGACATTAAAATCAGCTGTTAAAACCCACTGAAACTGAGCGCTAAGGAGATCCAACATGGCTGCCAGGGGTGGGTTAAATCACCTGACAAGACTTCTGTGAGGAAAGGAAGGAATGCCAACATTACTTTATTCTCTCTGTATACTGTTGTCCAATGTAATCTTCTTGCTGTAAGTTATACAGCTCGAGAATAACAGCCACATGATAACACAACCTAGACCCCCTTCCACCCCCACCCCTCCCTCTCTGTCTGTGACAGCACAGATGCTCAGAAAGCCTGGGACTGGTCATGGAGTGTCACTCACAATCAGCCTCTGAGTGCCAAAGTGCATTCATCCAGAAAATGCCAGATTCCACTCTAATCATTTTTTTCTTATTCTATCTCCATCTCCTCATACCTTGGCTATCTCAGATTCTGAAGACAGGCTATTGAAAATCTTGACCTTCAGGATGACGGTTATCACTGCTCAGAGATTTGTGTGTGCAGGGAGTTTGTGAAGTACAAATCTTGGAACAGTGCCGGGTTTACTGGAGCTTGTAACTGTTATTTGAATCAGACCTCATGTTCTGTCAGAATACTTGAAATATGAAAATGAGCACTGGCATTATTCTTTGAGAGCCTTGGAGACGGTTTTCCATCTTGTTTTGTAATGTATAATGATGTCTTGTGGTTAGAATTGTGTGTTGCTTTTTTACGTGTTTTTTTATCTCATTTTTAACCGTGTGTGTTAAACCGTTTGGGCATGGTTGGCAAAGTTTTCTTCACGCAGTGCTTATAAGAAGTGATAGCGGGAAGCGGCCTTCTTTACTGTGATTATGGGTATGACAGTGATGCTGCGAGGTATGATGCGCTTGTTCTGACTGCATCAGAATCACTACAGGACAGGACAGCAAGATATAGTTTTTTCCGACAATGCATGATTACTTGCTGAAAAGTGTTTTTATTTTCAAGCTCCCTCAAAAAAAAAACTAAAGTAAAACAATAGAGAAAGATAGACAACTTGCTGCTTCCCATGATAGGTGTATTAGCTCAACTGGTGGCATCTCCTGGTGCAGAGATATGTCCCGTTTTGATCCAAATATAAGGTCAGTAGGACTTTTCCTGTTTTTGCAGGGAGAATGAATGATGGGGTGTGTGTTAAGCATTCTTCAGCAGGAGGTAATTCCATCTACAATGCATAACAGCCTGACCCAAACAGATTGTAGATGATGTCTGCAGCCAGGCGTAACCACAGAGCCATCCCTTCATGCTTAAATGCGCAGTCAGGATGCACAATTCTCCGTGTGATGTGAGGAAGTAACCCTGTAGCAGGTACAGTGAGCCCCAAACTGCAGTGATGATGCTCGTGCATATTTGATGTTAAATATTTGATGGGAAATGTGGGGGCAGGAAGGCGAGGATGAAAAGCCACGTCTACGCCTGGAACCCGGCATTTGATCAGCATATTAATGCAGAATAGTGATTATACTTGGTCGGCCGTACCTCAAGGCCGGACATTTAATGAAAAAATAAAAAAGAGGATGACCTTCCAAGCGGGCAGAATCAAGTTTTACCAAAAAATGGAAAGTCCACTATCAGCATTCAATCTCAAAATAAAGTAACCTATGTTCATTTACATAATTAGAATGTGGATCTCTTAAGGAGTCCTCACATGCACGGTGCGGTTCAGTAATGTGTGCTGCAGGACATCAGAAAACTCCACAGAGGACGAGTGAGAGGTACTTTACAAGGGAGATGAGGCTCCAAGCTGCAAAGACTTGAAACATGAGGTAAAACCAAAGCAGACAGTGTTCTGTTGAGAGGAGCTGATTTGGGAAATATTTATTGTCTCTGGCTGTATAGAACTGCTGTAAAATTCACTAGTTCTTATCTACCCACGTAGCACATGATCTGGGATAATGGCATTGTTTGATGAGGCAGCCAGGAGAGCAGACTGCAGAGCAATAAGATAATGTACATGATTCACACATGCCCCATGAGGGGAGGGTTTCAGATTTGTTTTTTGAATCAGGGAAACTGATGGACACAGGATTCTTTGATTCCTGACAGTGATATGCCTAAAACCTGATTATTCAGATTCATAAACTTGTGCCAATGATAAAGCATATTTTTGATGATAAAACAACTCTCTGTCATCCCCAGGGGATATTGTGCAGCATATGAACTGTGTATCAGACTACAGGCAGGGCTTGCACAGTGATTAAGTGTGAAATGTTAGAAATATATGTAAATGTGTGTGTGCAGACAGAAAGGAGAGAAGCTGAGGAGGAGAAGAGCAGGGGTGATCTAAAAGTTCTGTGTCTGCTGGATCCTGAAGTCAATTTGTTTCAGTTTAGAGCAAGCCTACCTTTCCAATGATAAATGAAATTAATTAATTCCTGAGTGACAGCCATATGGCTGTTAAAATAACAAGCCAGTCCACAATTCATCATCCCATTAAAAGTGAGCAGAACTCGGAGCTGATGTTGTTCAACAAAGTTTGTGACAATTATGTGAATCAACCAAGTCTGTGCTTTATATAAGTGGGTCAGCATCCTCGTTCTTTCCTTCCACAGTTTGATGTTAGCCTTTAAACATCATTAAGAATATTCACAACATCATGTTTAAGACAACACTGACCCAGAAAAACATAAATGTTAAAGAATTCATAAAAGGCCATTTCAATCAGATCATGTCAATTATTAGGAATTGATCTAGTTAATTAAAGTGAAATAAACATGACATTCATAATAGGGCCCGACCAATGTGTGATTTCTAGGGCTATTACTGATATCGATATTTGGGGAGATAAAAAAATCTCATACGGATATATCGGCCAATATTTTTCTAGGATGTTTCGATCTGTAGAGATAGCTTGATATAGATATATATTTATTGTGTTGAGCCCTCATATGTAGTTATCAAAGACTGTAAAAGATATACAGTAAAACGTAGACAGGATGGTCACTCAACTGGAAAGTAACTGCACATGTACGTGTATCACTTCTTGACCACCTGGAGAGTGCTAATGCTTTTTGTAATCCATATAGCACACTCTGTTAGTGACAAGCACAAAGAGTGTAATCCAATGATACACAAATTAAATTATGTTTGACTGTAAATAAATCTAGTAAATTAAGTGCATATCTGCAATAAAAATAAGTCGATACGATAGTCACTGAATATGCTAATATCGGCCGATATTATTGGCTGGACGATTAATCGGTCGGGCTCTAGTTCATGATGTGAGATTTTAAAGATGCATGTTATTGTAAATGTGTTTGTGATGGGGTGAGGACAGAGCAGTATCACTTACTTGGAAATGGACACTGACATTAATGATACTTTTCTTTCTCAAAGGAACTCGGAGCTCTTTTGTAATATTCCCAAGCAGAGCCAAAAAACTGAAACTATCACACTGACAGCAGGGTGGGTATTGGTGCGATATGAAAGGAATTTTCTAAACTGAGTACAACATTTCCAATTCCATTCTGTCACTGTTATCACGTATTTGTCATATTTGTGTATCATGTTCCAATACCGTTTAATCCCTTGTGACAGGTTCTGCAAAATGTACTCTTTTACATTCACTCTCAAGTCTTCAAAGAGGTGCAGAGCAAGGAGTACAAACCCTGAATCCCATGTATTGACATGAGATGTGGGGCTTTTTTTTATTTATAACAGCAATTTTCCTCTCCCCAGTGAAGCCGGGAAGACTTAAAGATTCAGACTGAATCTCAAAACAAATTGGAAGGCTTTGTTTTTTCTTTTTAGGTTGGTGTCACAAATTACAGCTCCAGGACAGATTTGGTTTTA